TGACAGCCTTGGAAACCCTCTGGGGCAGTTCTGCTCCATTCTATAGAGTCACTATGAGTCAGAATCAATTGGATAGCAATGGATTTTTTTTTTTTTGGAGATACCCTCTCCTCTGGGTGGCACAAAAGGTAAAGTGCTAGACTACTAACTGAAGGGTTGGTGGTTTGAGTCCCCCCAGAGGTGCCTCAGAAGAAAGGTCTGGCAAACTGCCTCTGAAAGGCCACTGCCATCATAAACCAGACGGAGCACAGCTCCACTCTCACACACATGGGGTTGTCTTAGACAGCAATCAGCTTGATGGCAACTGGTTTGTTTCACTTGTTGAGGCACCCCGTACCCTCAGCATCCTCTCCCCCAAGACTGCTCTCCTCTAAGCAGCTTCTGATGGCCATCACCACCTCTCACGGGGCTCACGGTCTGAACCACTCAATGAACCCAGAGCAGCTGAACCTGGCCGCACAGGGAGGCCCTCCCAGAGCCGCCCATCGCCTCACGCCCACTGCAGGTGCCCAACGACCACTCCCAAGGCTGTGCTTTTCCACGATTTTATCACATGACGGGGTCCTTTAAAGCAGCCGTTTATTTAATTGGAGGTTCAATACGGATTTGTTTGGGACACAGTGCACAGGCACCAAGAGGTATTTTAAGCACTTCCGACAAGTCCCTGCAGGCCAGCATCCTGTACGACCCAGAATGGAGGCCTGACAAGTGGCCCCTAGGCTCCTGGCTCGAACCCACAGCCACCTGACCACCCCATCTTCCTCCTGACTCCCTCCAGTTGTTGAGAGTACCTCCCTTCTAGACACACCTATCTTCCGACTTCCCAGCCCAGAGGTGAGAGCCTGGATGAGAACCATGGTTCCCTTTATGATCACTTACATGGTGAGCATCTCCTCTCAGCGATCTGCCGTCTTACCTTCTGGGCTAGACAGTCTGGTAGGTGGAAGCTTGCTGGGTTTTAGCTTGTACGTGTCCGGGGGCATGTGCTGGGGCTTTTCATACCAGGAGGGCTTTTAAAGCCCAGCTTCCAGAAGCAATGAGTGGCTCCTCGTAAGTAGTACATGGGACGGCACAGACTTGTGAGGGGGGAGGGGGAGTGAGGAAAGGACTACCTGGACAGGACTGTGAAGATCACAGAGGGCTTCCGTTACTACTCGTAAGTGGTCCTGGCACCAAAAAGGGGCCCCGTGATCATGTTAAAGTATCTAATAGACTGCTCTGGGTGACGCCCCCACCCTCTGGTGCTCCTGGGCACACTGCCTGCCACGTCCTCCCCAGGGCACCTCACCACCTTAGAAATGACTGTTGAACTCTCGGGTCAGGGGCCACACCTACTCACTCACTCTGTGTCCAACAGCTAAGCTCGGGGTCTGGCATGTAATTGGCACTCCATGAGCATTGACGAAGGAGCTCTGGTAGCGTCGTGTCAAAGGCCTCTGACTGCTAACCAGAAGGCTGGCGGTTCAAACCTACCAGCCACTTCTCGGAAGGAAGACTGGGCAATCTACTTCCATAAAGGTTTACCACCTCAGAAACCCAAAGGGAGTCACTATGAGTCAGAATTGACTCGATGGCAGTGAGGTTTTTTGTAAGCATTGGTAAAAAGAGCCCTGGTGGCACCATGGTTAAGTGCTTGGCTCCTAATGGAAAGGTCAGTGGTTTGAACCAAACTGGTCCATAGGAGGTTGTTGTTGTCGTGTGCTGTTGAGTCGGACCCGACTCGTAGCTACCCCTCCTTGGGTTTCCGAGGCGGTATCACTACGGAAGTAGAGTGCCCAACCTTCCTTCTGAGGAGTGGCTGGTGGGTTTGAACCGTCAGCCTTCTGGTTAGCAGTCAAATGCCTTAGGCACTATGCTACCAGAGCTCCCTGGTCCATAGGAGATAAGACTTGGCAATCAGCTCCCGTAGAGATGAGAGGCTAGGAACCCCTGTGGGCAGGTAGGCTTTGTCACATGGGGTTGCTATGAGTCAGAATCAACTCAGTGGCACTCGACAATGACAAGCATTTATAAACTCACAGACAGGCACGCGTGTTGCTTCCGGAAAGTTCTTCTCCGTTTTGCCTTTGATTGTTCCTACCTCCACAGGTACTCATGAGTTGAGAACCTAATGTAATGAGTATCTGTAAACCTGTCACTTAGATTTCACACTTCTCAAAATTTTGCCCCATTTGCTCCATCCACCCCGGTTCCTTTCACTTTTTTTTTTTTTTCTCCTGAGAGATATTTTAAAACAAATTCTAAGCATTGTGTCATTTTAACCCTGCTGTGTTCAGAACCAAACCTAATCCACTGCCAACGAGTCGATTCAGACTCACAGTGACCCCCATTGGGTATCCGAAGCGTAAAACTTCAAGGAAGTAGATTGCCTCATCTTCCTCCCACAGGGCAGCTGGTGGGTTTGAACCACTGACGTTCTGGTTAGCAGTCAAATGTCTGACCCACTCTGCTACCAGAGCTCCATACTTTCTTCAGTTTGTATGTCTAGAAATATATGAACGTTTTCTAATAAAATCACAACGCCATTATTACAGCTGACAAAATGAAAAATAATTCCATGTGTTGTTTGTATGCCCATATCTC